TGACATGCCCCAGCTCCCGCTCATCAGCCCCGCCAGCCCTGGCTCCTGCCTCAGCCCAGCAGACGTGACACCGAAAATCGGGACCCCACGGCCCCAGTTTGGGGCACCAGGCCCAGCAGAGAGGGCTGCCGTGTGCCAGGCTGCAGCAGGATTTGTGGACCACAACCATTCCTGCCATCGAAGACAACTCAGAAGGCAGACGTGGGGCAGTGGGCGGGGCCAGGACAGAGACCCACAGTGGGGCTCACGTTCCGGGGGCAAAAACGCAGCCCAGAGCCAGGGAAGAGAGCGCCGGGCACTGCCAAGGCCCCTCCCCGTGGGACCTCTCAGTGGGTGCGGGCCCCAATGCCCCACACACCAAATGGAAATGACGCACATCATGCTCCTCTGGGGGAATATTCTAGAAGCTTCCAGGGTGAGAGGCAAGAAATGATGTTCCATGGCAGGGATTGGGGGTGGGAAGAATGGCCTTGGCCAAAAGCCAGGACATACAGCGGAGCGATGTCTTCGAAATTCCGGGTGAAGCTGCTTTCCACCTGTGCCTCTGCGTTGAACCAGGCTTGCAGCCAACGTGGAGCTAGAACAAGCGTGCTCCAGCCCAGACGCGTGAGCCCTGGAGACAGCTGCCCCTGCGCGCTCAGAGCCTGGAGGCCTCGGGCCGGCGGTCTCCTGGGAAAGAGTCCACCAAGCACCTGAGGCTTTTGAGCACTGAGGGGCTGCGCTGTGGCTCCTCGAAGCTGGCGACCTGGGAGTGAAGTGAGCACTTGAGGGGCACAGAGCGTCGCACGGGAAGGAGCAGCACGTGCAGCGCCCGGCTCGCAGACATGCTCATGCTCTGTGCAGCCTCCTCCCCGGAGGACAGCCACGTGCCAGGCAGCGAGGAGAGGACCCCACCCCCGCCCCCAGCCCAGCCCAGCGCAGGGCGGCAGACTCGTGTGAATGGCCCCAGTGGAGGCAGCTCAGATGTATCTCTGCAGACACACGGGCACACTGTGGCCCCACCCACACGCAGAAGGGGCACTGCTGACAGCAAAACAGGGCTGGGTCTCGGGGATGTGATGTGGGGAAAGCCAGACGGGTCCTGGACAGGAGCCACTGGAGGGGCTGTGGAGGCCAGAGCCGCGCCTGGCAGCCTGGGGCGGGAGGGACTGGCTGTGCTCACCGGCCACGGCCCCCACCTGTCCTTTCCCAACCTCCCACCCACTCCCATGTGTAAGGGTTAGTTACAGACCAAACCTGAGCCCCACCTGCCTCCCTGCCGTCAGCCACTGCTCAGCTGCTCCCTGGGGGGACCAAAGAGCACTTGATCCCCCTCGGGTCCAGACAGCACAGCTGTCACCATGTCTTTGGGGGCGGGTTCAGCAGGACAGGAAGTGCTTGTGGACCAAGCAGTCCCACACAGAGGGGCCAAGGGATTCCCAGCCACGGAGTAGCACCGTAGCACCGTCAGATCCATGCCCTGGGCAGGTGCTGGCCTGGGGGCGATGGAGGGTCGGGCAGGGCCAGGGAGGCCAGCTCAGGAATCCTAGGAATCCCGTCTCCCCCTCCCTCTCCCTCCTGGTGCCCCGCCCCTCCTGGTGGACAGGGAAGCCTCCTGGCTGATCCCCGCATGCATTGGGGAAGCCTCGCTGAGCGCTCTCCCTGGAGCCTGGACAGCGGACCCCATCTCAGTGCCCCAGGAGGCACAGGCTGCCTCCCGGGCTTCAGCGCCTGCTGGGCCTGTGCTGGCCCCTGCAGCTCCCTCCCAGCGTAGCACAAACCCGCACGGCCAGAGCACTTCCCCAGGCTGTGGCCTCGGCTCCCCACACTGCCCCACGCGGTCCAGTGGGTGCTCACACCCTGAGCTCTCCATTACCGAGACCTCCCACTACTTCCTTCTCCCCCTGCTGAAGTGGGAGTTGCTCTTCCGGCACCTTCTGCGGGTGCTGCTTTCGTAGCCACCACCGGGGCCCAAAGCCCTGCAAACCAGAGCTCTTCCCGCCGCTGGGAAGGGTGGCCCACGCTCTGTCCAGGAAGAGTTGGCCTGAGTCCCTCACAAGCCCCCACCCACGGCCAGGTCATGGGGCAGTGGGTGGAGCACAGGTCCCAGAGCTCAGAGCCCACCTCCGAGGACCCACAGAGGCAGCTCAGCCTGTGGTCCAAGGAAAGAAACCATGGAGCCTCCAGAGTGGGCGAGTCTGGCTGAGCCCGGAGTGGCCAGGTAGGCCAGCGTGTCCACTTGGGACTTGGACTGAAAGCTGTAGGACCTCCTCCCTCCAGGCTGCTTGCTGACCTGAGGTGCCCCCTGCCTCCCTGCAGGGCCCGCAGACCTGGTGGCCCCAGGCTGGCTGGTTCCGACCCTGCCGGGCCCCTGCCCTGGACGCGCGTGGGAGAGGCACGGGCAGGCACTCGGCCACCGCGTCCCTCACTGTGCCCTCTCAGTGCCGTGCCCGCCTTCCTCAGGCTGTGCCGGTCCCCAGAGCCAGGCCCTGGACACAGAGCTCAGGAGGGGCCGCTGTTGAGCTGTGTCCGGGGGGTGTCTGTGATGGAGACCGGTGCTGGTCTGCATTGTTTGAAAGCCCGTCTCACAGCCATGCCAGCTCTGCTGTGGTGTGGCGTCACTGTCATGTTGCATCGGGGTCATCTAACGTGTGTCCTGTGTGCACTGTAGTTCAGTTGAGAAATCCAATCATGGCTTCTGCCTTTATATTACCTTTCTTAGGTGCACTTAATGTGACTGGTACAGTGGGACTTGTAGCAGCCATCTTACTCTGTTTTGCACATCCTGAGCAAACCATCTACTGATTCACTCCCCAGCTGCCCACAGCAGCCTGGGCTGGGAGCCCCACCCAGGTCTCCACATGGGGGGCAGGGACCCAAGCACGTGAGCGTCACCTGCTGCCTCCCAGGGCGTGCATGGGCAGGAGGCTGGAATTGGAAGTGGAGCTGGGGCTGGAACAGAATTTGCGGCGAGGCATCCCACATGGAGAAGTGCTTGCTAATGGTGCTGTTTTCACCACTGGCTTTTTCAGTGTACCTGTAGGGTCTTGTTCATGGTTCCTCCAGGGTTGATCGTGTAGAACGTATCGGGATCTGTGTCAGGGTCACTCTCTGGGAGTCCTGCGAGATGCACAAGTGGCCCGCCCACGTGGGTGCGTAGCCTGCCCCTCCTGGTGCTGCTGCTGCTGCTGCTGCACACAGCGTGCCAGAGGGTGCTGGGCACCCGGGCGCACCGTCGGCGTCCTCGCTCTCCCACCCCACGCTGAGCACCTCACAGAGGTCATGGAAAGTGGCACTGAGAGAGGTTTATGGAGAAAAATCTGAAATCCATGTCTTCAAAAAGGTCAAGGAAATGCATATTTCGAAAAAACTATGCATGGATTTCAAATTCTGCTGCACCAAAATAGGCTTTAATTCTGTTCTGCACGGACTTTGTGAAGCACCCCCTATCCGTTGCAGCCCAACCATGTATGTGCACACGTTCTCTCCACACAACCTCCAAGAACACACATGCGTGTCACCGCCACAGCCGCATGGCGGACGCGCACGGCGGCTCCATGGGGGCTCTGCGGCCAGCAGCTGTCCTCCTGCTGCTTCTGCCTCTGCAGGCTGAGGGGTGGCCCTCCCGGTCTCTCTGCCGGGCCTGGGGCCGCCTTCTCCTGTTCATCTGACTTGGAGGTCACAGAGCTCCGTCAGCTGGAGAGGTCGCTATTCTGTCCCGGCCACCCGCCTGCCGAGGCGCTGGTCACCCCTCCTCCTCATCTGTCCCCCAGCTCACGTCATTGTTGAATTCTCTCCCGGTGTGCTGATTCTCTGCCTGTTCAGATCCGTTAAGCTCTTCTAGTGAGTTTACTTCTCTCTGACAGAGCTTTGCAGCCCCGGGATCTCCACGTTTTGAGAGCTGTGGCCCTGCGCTGATGAGCTCCGTTCCCCTTCAGTCTCCGGGGACGCACTCATAGCGGCTACTTGGAGGTCGTGTGTTAAGTCACCACCTGCCTCCCCTTTCCTTGGGGCCTTGTGGTGCGTGCTTGGAAACTGGACACTGCAGACACTGCATCCCGCAACCCGGGGCACCCCGTCCTGGGCAGCCTGTCTGCTTGTTCTTAGTGACAGGCCGGGTCCCTGTGGAGCAGCTGGTGCTGCCCTCCCCTGCCAGCAGAGCTCAGGCCCTGCGAGGCGCGGGGAGGGCCGGGCTGCTCCCCTACCCTGGCCACACCCAGCTGTCCACTGCACGCGGAGCCGCCGGTGCTCGGGTGGTTTCGGCAGTGTCCCGGGCCTTGGGTTTCTCTGCAAACCGGCTGTGGGGTGGCTCCGCCTCCGTGGTTTCAGGGTCTGTGCCTGAGGCCTGTCCCCCAGCTCCGAGTCCCAGGCTGCCTCCCGCAAGCACTCCTGCCTGCGGCCGGGGCGGGGCTGCGTCAGCTCCACAGGTGGCCCGTTCCCTGCGCTGCCTGAGTGGCCTGCTGTCAGCTCTCCTGCCCTGCTGCAGCGGAGTCTGTCCCCGCGGAGAGCTCGTTCGCTCTCTCTTGCTCGCTCTCGCTCACTCGCTCGCTCTCTGCTTGTTCTCTCACTTCTTGTCCCCCGCACCAGAGCACAGGCTCTGAGACAGTGGCAGCATCACTCTGACTGCCCCCTGCCCCCGGGGACTGCTGGGCATGGGGTGACAGCCCCTGAGACCCCAGGGCCTGGCCCCTCCTGGCCTGAATCACTCAGCACCCATCTTCTCCCTGTCCTGCCCAGGAGTGGGGGCTGGGTGGGAGGAGGGACCAGCCGCCCCCACCAACACAGCCCCACACTGGGGTCGCCGAGGGCAGCGTCCGCGCTGCCGGGAGCCTCGTGCTTGGCCCTGTGTCATCTGCTGCCTGCCAGACCCGTCTCCAGAGGCCGGGCTCCAGGTTTGCCCGCGATTCCCACTCCACGCCCACCCCAGCCGGGCCAGTCCCGGTCGCACTACAGGGAAACTGGGCTCCGGGTCCCTGTGCCCAGGCCGCCTGTGCCCCAACCGGTGTCCCCCTCCTCCCCAGGGCGAGTGCTCCCCCAAGTGCCGCAACCTCTTCGTGCTGGAGACGGTGTGTGTGGCCTGGTTCTCCTTCGAGTTCCTGCTGCGCTCCCTGCAGGCTGAGAGCAAGTGCGCCTTCCTGCGGACACCGCTCAACGTGCTGGACCTGCTGGCCATCCTGCCCTTCTACGTGTCGCTGCTCGTGGGGCTGGCGGCGGGCGCGGGCCCCGGCGGCAGCAAGCTGCAGGAGCGCGCGGGGCTGGCGCTGCGGCTGCTGCGCGCGCTGCGCGTGCTCTCCGTGGTGCGCCTGGCGCGCCACTCGCTGGGGCTGCGCTCGCTCGGCCTCACCGTGCGCCGCTGCGCACGCGAGGGCGGCCTGCTGCTGCTGTTCCTCGGGGTGGCCACGGCGCTCTTCGCGCCGCTCGTGCACCTGGCCGAGCGTGAGCTGGGCGCGCGCCGCGACTTCCCCAGTGTGCCCGCCAGCTACTGGTGGGCCGTCACCTCCATGACCACCGTGGGCTACGGCGACATGGTGCCGCGCAGCCTGCCGGGCCAGCTCGTGGCGCTCAGCGGCATCCTCAGCGGCATCCTGCTCATGGCCCTGCCGGCCACCGCCATCTTCCACACCTTCTCGCGCTCCTACGCGGAGCTCAGGGCGCAGCAGCGGCGCGGGAGCAGCGTGCAGAGCCCCACCAGCGCCGGCCCGGCTGCGGGGCCCCCGTGAGCACCGAGCCCCCGCCACCCTCGGCCGCGAGGAGGGGCGGCGCGGAGGCCTCCCTCCAGCCGGGCCACCTGACCCCTCCCACGCCCCCGGCTGAGGGAGACGCAGGCAGGAAGGAGCCCAGCGGGCATGGTCAACACAACAGGCCCAGCTGCTCGACCTGGCCCGCGACCTAAGCAGGCGCAGGAAGCCCATGGGGCGCTGAGACCCCTGCACTGCAACCCAAGAAAAGCCCTGGGTCTCCCACAGCACTGAGTTCCACGGTGCAGCCTGGGGTCCACCCTAGAGCACAGGGCTCCTGGGCCACACAAGGGCTTCCTGTGACCTGGGGGGGGTGCTCCTGTCCCACCAGGCTCCCCGCACTCAAAGCCCCAGGGCATGCCTGCACACAGCATGGACCCCAGCTGCACCTGTCAGCCTGCGCCTCACGGACGGGGCAAGGCCCCCAGGAGGCAGGGCAATGGCCGTGACCAGGTCTTGACCAAGCACAGCATCCCTGCTGTTCCTCCTGCCCCACCCCCATGTGGCCACAGTCCTGGAACAAGGAGGTGTCGACCATCCCCTCGGGAGGCCCAGGAACCGTGGCCCCGTCACCCAGCACTCCGCTCCCAGAGTCACGTGACCTGTGCCCTGGCCTCTGACCCCCACAACCCCAAGCCCAGGCCCACACCTCCCCCGCCGCCCCTGCGCCTGCAGCTCCAGGTCGGTTTTCAGTGCTGGGGTCAGAAGCCCTGCCCCATCTCACCAGGGAGACTGCACCCATGCTCCCAGGGCCCAGTCCCCCACATTTGGAGGGGCTGCAGCAGCAAGGGCTGTAAACAGGCAGCCATCGGGGCCCCAAAGGAGAACCCTCAGCACCCAGCTGCACCCCTCAAGGCCTCCCCGCCAGGGCCCAGGGCCTGCCGGATGCCCTCAGGCCACACCGGGCTGGAGACTGCGTTGTGTAGTCCAGGCCTCGGGCACACTCGCAGCAGTTACCACCACAGACAGCTCCGCTTTTAAAAATAAACATTTTTAAAGCATCCAGCAGGCCGCAGAGCTGAGCCAGCGCCTCAAACATTCAGGAGTCTCCTCTGGGAAGGCAGGAGCGGCGGCTGCGGACGCCTCCCACCGCCACAGCAGGGGCAGCGGGCAGGGCTGGGGCCTGGCCTGAGTCAGAGCAGGTGCGACCCACGGGGGCCGCACCTGGTGCCAGGTACCCGCGCAGCGGCTCCCAGCTCAGCCAGACAGCAGAGCACGCACGGGGCCGACACGCCCAGAGAACAGGGCTGCGGACAGCAGCAGCATGATGGCAGCTGGGACAGCACGCCGGGTGGAGCCAGCTCCTGACTCCAGCTCTCCTGGTACCCAGCCTCCAGGCCCACCTGCCCGGCATAGCCGTGGCCTGGGATGGGAGCGAGGGGCGAGGCCGGAGCTTTAAGCCAGAGTGTGGTAGACACTTGCTTTTGTCGTCCCCTCAGACACATGCACACCCAGCCCCTGGGGTAACGCCCACTCTGCTGTCCTCTGCGGCGAGCCCCTGCCCAGTGCCCACCCTGACACCACCACACCCAGCTGACCACCTGTGGGCACTTCGAGGCCCACCCTCCCGCACGTGGGGAGCACAGGGCCAGCCGGCGCCTGCAGCCCAGCTAGGCAGCCTCGTCCTCCCTGATGGCCTCAGAGGGCCTTGGCACTGGCCGGGTGTGCTGCGTGGGGCACCGGCTTCTGGGGGTGGCGGGCGAAAGCGTAGGCCTGGCCCAGGATGGCCAGGTCCACCAGCACCTGCAGGAGGCCGCAGACGGAGAACTGCAGGGGCGCAGCCTTGAGCAGGAAGTAGGCGGTCTTGAAGGTGTCGCCGCTCGTCCACATGAGCACCATCTTGATGCTGCAGACACACAAAGGGCAGTCAGTGGTGGGACGTGGGGGACGCGCCCACCCTTGCCCCTCTGGCCCCACGGGGTCTCAGGGCTGAGCCCTGAGGTCAGGCACGGCAGCACGGCTGCAGGGAGTAGCCGGGACAGGCATCAGAGCAGCCCACGGCCTCCTGGCTGGTCAGCGCTGTGAAGAGGGCTGCCCCTGCCCCTCGACCTGACCTGGGGTGTCGGCCAAGGGCTGCCAGGAAGGCCGCTGCCACCCACGAGCTGTGCGGCAGCGCCCGGGGCCCAGCCTCCCCCCTCCTGTCCCTGGTGATGGTGCAAAGCCCCCTTCAGAGGCAGCAGCTGCACCTATCGGCCCCGTCCTCCTCCTGGGCTCAGCACAACCGTGTCAGGCGGAGATCAGTCCCGAGCGCCGGGCAGCCCAGGGGGAGGCTGCTGACCACGGACAGGCAGGTGCCCTTGGAGTGCAAACCCTCACCACGCACAGGGCCAGGGAGTCGTCCGTGCCCACACCAAGGACACGGCCACCTCCTGGAGCCCCAGAAGGGAGCCTGCCCTGGGCTCACACAGCTGAGCATGGAGCCCGCGGTGCAAGGGGCCCGCCAGCACCTGGACACGGACCCCTCACCCGCAGGCTGCCCGGGCTGCCCACAGCCTGCTCCCTCCGCCCGCTGGAAGGCCCTACACCTGGATGTCCCCAGAGCAACAGCTTATAAGCAGGGTGGGCACCGGCACGGCAGTCCCCATGGTGCCGGGACACATCCCACATCAGAGTGCCCGGATTCAGGGCCCCGCTCCGGCTCCCTGCCTCAGTGATGGCACAGACAGCTGGCTCCCTGCCACCCGCCGGGCACCCCTGGACTGAGCTCTGGGCTCCTGGCTGTTGTGGGCATTCAAGAAGTCAACCGATAGATGGACAGTCTCGGGTTTCTCTCTGCCTTTCAAATAAAATCAACGTGCGTTCACAGAAATACCCCAGATCCGCAGAATGAATGCCTGTCTGCTCTGCCCACTGCCTGACAGTGCAGTGGCGCTTCTCTCCGGGCAGGCACTGACCCAGGGAGCCCACATGGGGCCGCCAAGGGCCAAGCCGCCCTAAGTCAGCTGCTGCCCAGGCTCCGGCTCTCGGTGGATGAGGGCCAAGCCCCACAGCTGCATGGAGACCAGCAAGGGCCAGCGCCTGGTGTGGGCACGTCACAGCACAGCCGGGCACCGCAGTCGGGCAGCTGAGGAGGTGCAGAGGGGCCGCCTAGGCTCGCACGGAGTGGGTGGAAGGAACCAGCGGGAAGAAGGTCAGAGCCGGGGTCAGCCAGCGGGTGGGGCTGCAGCACCCCGAGTCACAGGACTGTGCTGGGTCTCCGGGACCAGCTCCACCACCAGCAAAGGCAGAGCCCAGGGCTTCGAGAGAGGGGGGCTGAGGAGGGCCCCTCTGCTGTCCACTGCGCTCGACCCCTGGGGCTGCCTGTGGCCTTGAGTCCCTCCTCTGGCTTCAGGGTTACAGCACAGCCACCAGGGGAGACTTTTCACGCAGGTCAGTGGTGCGACGTGCCCCTCAGTGTCCCCCCATTCTGTCTGGGGTGCTTCTCCCACCTGAGGTCTCTCCCACACACAAGGCAACAACAGTTCTCAGGTGTGACACCTCCCCTGCACCTGCTGTGGAGCCACTGTGAACACCTGGGCACCGACCAAGTCCTCTGACCTCTGCTGTCACCACCCGGCACGCTCCCCATCCACAGAAGTGCAGTGGACCCAAGACCCAGGCGGGACGCACAAGCTGACCCCTGCTGCCCACCCTGGGCTTGGGCAGGACTCAGGCCTGGGGCTGCTGCCCCTTCACAAGATGCCCACTGTGGGGGCCGACACCTGGTCGTGGATGCGGCAGATGCCCCGGCACCGCTCGGTGACCCGCACAACTCCACGAAAGCAGTCCAGCTCTCCTGACCGTCTCCACGCAGGACTGCTGGACTTCCTCAGTGTCACTGCTTGGGCAACGACGCTAGGCTTGGACTTGCGAGGGAGGCCCCCAGCCAGCGAGCAGGAGTGCAGTTTGCCTCACTCCACCCTCAGAACTTGTCTTGAGTTAGCTGGGAACCTTCGGTGTGAACCCAGGTTCTGGCTTCCCTTGGAGAACATCTTGGGAGAGAAGCCGTGACTGCAATCTAACAGACAAGGGCTGTCTGGGTAACAGGTGCTCAGGCTGTTTCCCCTTGGGTCAGTGCTGGCAGCTGGGGGCCTTCAAGGCGCTGGCCCTGGCCCAGCTCCTCCAGGCTCAAGTCCAAGGGCATGCAGTTGGGCACAGTGCCCCCCATTTTTTAAAAAGATGTATTTGAATGAAATTTTTTTTTATTTGACAGGTAGAGTTATAGACAGTAAGAGAGAGAGAGAGAGAGAGAGAGAGAGAAAGGTCTTCCTTCCGTTGGTTCACTCCCCAAATGGCCACTACGGCCGGCGCTGCACTGATCTGAAGTCAGGAGCCAGGTGCTTCCTCCTGGTCTCCCATGGGGTGCAGGGCCCAAGCACCTGGGCCATCCTCCACTGCACTCCCGGGCCACAGCAGAGAGCTGGACTGGAAGAGGGGCAACCGGGACTAGAGCCCGGTATCCATATGGGATGCCGGCACCACAGGCGGAGGATTAACCAAGTGAGCCATGGTGCCGGCCCCTTAAAGATGTATTTGAAAGAGAGAGGGAGGGAGTATCTTCCACTGCTGGTTCACTCCCCAAATGGCTGCAGTGGCCACGGCTGGGCCAGGCCAAAGCCAAGAGCCCAAGCACATGAGACGTCTTCCACTGCTTTCCCAGGTGCATCAGTAGGGAGCTGGAGCGAAGTGGAGCAGCCGGCACTGTAGGCAGTGTCTTTACTGGATACACCACAGCACTGGTCCCTCCCCCTTTTTTAAAGAAAGTAACTTTTTTTAAGCCGTTGCCTTAATTTTTAAAATTATTTTCATCAACTTGAAAGAGTGACAGATCTCGCACCCGCTGGTTCACTCCCCAAGTTCTCCACAGCTGGGGCCGGACCACGCCCAAGCCAAGGCCTGAAACTCCACTTGGGTCTCCCACATGGGTGGCGGGGGCCATCCCTGCTGCCCCCCAGGGTGCATTAGCAGGAGGCTGGAGCAGAACTCCAACGCGGAATGCAAGCATCGCAAGCGCTGGCTTAACCCGCGGCAGCACAGCGCCGCTGGCACGCCGGCACGCGGCACACGGGCACACCGGCACACCGTGCGGCTGCAGAATCCGCCCGGCCCGCTCCTGACGCTGGTTAATCCGTGTCTCCGTCGTCTCAGCCGTGCGGCTTTAGTGCTGGCCCTTGCAGATCCTTCCAAAGAACCAGCTCTGCGGGGACTGCGTGCTCTGTGCTCACGTCATCCGTTCCTCCCGGGCTCCGCACTTGAGTCCCGCAGGAGGTGAGGCCGGGGCCGCCTTTCCGCTGTCAGCGTGTCGACTCTAGTTTAAATCGCGGCAGGCCCCCTCCAGCACTGCTTTAACCGCATCCACAGCTCCGTGCTGCTTTCACTCAGTTCAAACACTGACTCAAGGTCCGTTCAGAGGTCTGTTGTGTGGCTGCGCCGCTTCTCTGGGAGATTCTCCTTTCATGATCGATCGCCTCCTTAATTACACTTCAGTCACACGTGCTTTGATGACGTCAGCTTCCTGAAATAACCAGAATCCAGCCGGTTCTGCTGCAGGCAGTGCTGCCGCCATCTGAATGGGAGAGCTCGTGGGGGGGGGGGGGGGGGCCTGTGACGGACGCCCCTGCGCCCCGGGCACTGGCCAGGGCTGCAGCCCACACCTGCGCAGGCTGGGCCGCTGCTCCGGGGCCAGCCCGCGAGCAGCAGGAGGAGAGACCCTGCCGTGCTGTTCCCACAGAGGACCCGCCCCCTGTGCCGTCAAGCTCCTCCCTTTCCAAAGCTGTGCTTTCTCCACCTGACCTGTCCTGCACGGTGGCACCAACTCAGGACCTCGGCACCACGCAGCAGGACACGAGCCTCGGGGGCCAGCGAGCCCAGAGGGCCAGCGTCGCCCTCAGCGTCAGACCCCCCGGGGCCCCAGGGTGAAGATGCAGGATGGGGAAGCTGCTCAGCCCCACCCGGCACACAGCATCACGGGGCCCGTGCAGCAGGGCCAGGCAGCGCTGGGGAGGCTGTGGGCAGCTGGGCAGAGCCCCCAGCACGGCGTCCCACGTCCCAGTGTCCCAGCCTCCTGCACTCAGCTCCTCTCTCGCAGAAGCGGCCACCCGGCCTGCTCTCCTGCTCTGGTTTTCGACACTCCCAGGAGAGCACGGGCGGCCTCTCGGCTCTCACACTGCTCCCGGGACAGGAGACCCCAGCACCCAGCGCCTTGGAAGCGTCCTGTGTGGACACTGGGGCCCCGGCCAGCCCCTCAGTCTGCTCCCGCGCACCGAGCTCTGCGAGCCAAGGACCTGGCGCTTCCGCCTGGGCCACGCGTGACCCACGCCGTAGCCTCGGGCAGTCGAGCAGTCACTTCCCCTCAGCATCCTCTGGCCCTAGGCCTCCCTGGAAAACCACATGATGCAGAGCGCACGCACCACTCACGGCCACGGCTGCTCTCCCCGCGGGGCAGCGGGGGCTGCAGCCAGTCTGTGGGGCTCACTCACATTTGGGGACGTGGCTCCTCTCAGAACTGCTCCATGGAATGAGCTAGAAAAAACCCGCAAAACATCTCCACAGAGCTGGCAAACACCAGCGCCCTAAACCTGAAGGAAGGCTTTGGGTTCCCATCTGAAAATCGGGAAAAGACAGATGGCCTGCGGCCTGAACCCGCAGGCGACAGGATCAGGCGAGGCGGCACAAGAAATGAAACAGGAAGTCCACAGCGGGCTTCGTCCCAATCAACCCTGTGCCACGAGGGACGCCACCGAGAAAGTGGAAAGCTGCCCACAAGAGGGGAGGAAGTCTAAGTCCCACGGGGGCTTCAGGGAGTTCGTGGAGACGCCCACCGAGCTGGGGTCCGTGGAGACGCCACGTCTGGGCCCACGGAGACGCCCACACTGTGTCCGGTGTCCAGGCAGATGTCTGCGCTGTGCCGAGTGGAGCCCAGTCCTCTCCTGCCCATGCCCTCCTGCAGGGGCCCTCGCCCTGTGGCCACTGCCCGAGTAGTGTCCCCGCTGGGCTTCACCGAGAACCGGGAACAGCTTTCTCCCACAGCGTCCCCTCCCAGCCTCTCGGCCGCTGAACGTCACTGGTCCGCCTTGCGGCGCCCACTGCACACACAGACACAGACAGCCTGGGCAGGCACTTGGAGACTCCCGGAAGAGGGGATCTGACAGACGCACAGGGAGCGCGTCCCTGGGCTCTGGGAAGACCGCTCACTGCACCAAGATAAGCGCGGCTCCGCTTTCCCACGGGCTTCGTGTTTGATGAGGCTCCGGCTCCAGGACACACAGAACACTCATGACTCAGCCAGAGAACCCGCAGCCCAGGCAGCAGCGGCGGGGCGGTGGGCGCCCGGACAGTCCTCCATGTCACAGGGAGGGCGGCTGACACCAGCAAGGGCGTACAGGTGGGTGCAAAATGTGTCTCCCGTGTGACAGGAGCAGGCCGCGTGGCTGGCGTGTCTCCTGGTGACGCAAGTGGGCCGCGTGGCTGGTGTGTCTCCCATGTGACGGAAGTGGACCGCGTGGCTGGCATGTCTCCCGGTGATGGAAGTGGGCCGTCTGACTGGTGTGTCTCCCATGTGACGGGAGCGGGCTGCGTGGTTGGCGTGTCTCCCGGTGATGGAAGTGGGCCGTGTGACTGGTGTGTCTCCCGGTGATGGAAGCGGGCCACGTGGCTGGTGTGTCTCCCGGTGATGAAGCGGGCTGTGTGGCTAGTGTGTCTCCCGTGTGACAGGAGCGGGCCGTGTGGCTGGCGTGTCTCCCGTGTGACGGAAGTGGGCCGTGTGGCTGGCGTGTCTCCCCTGTGACGGAAGTGGGCCGTGTGACTGGCGTGTCTCCCGTGTGACAGGAGTGGGCCGTGTGGCTGGCATGTCTCCTGTGTGACAGGAGCGGGCCGCGTGGCTGGTGTGTCTCCCGTGTGATGGAAGTGGGCCGTGTGGCTGGCGTGTCTCCCCTGTGACGGAAGTGGGCCGTGTGGCTGGCGTGTCTCCCATGTGACAGGAGCGGGCCACATGGCTGTTGTGTCTCCCGTGTGACGGAAGTGGGCCACGTGGCTGGCGTGTCTCCTGTGTGACGGAAGTGGACCGTGTGGCTGGCGTGTCTCCTGGTGATGGAAGTGGGCCGCGTGGCTGGCATGTCTCCAGGTGATGGAAGCGGGCTGAAGTCACAGGACCGTGCACACACGGAGCCCGCTCGCTGCCTGTGGGGCTCTGTGCATGTCGGGGCCCAGCAGAGCAACCCTGAATGCTCACCCTGGAGGGCCCAGCCCGAAATGCAGCCACTGACCTGGCGCGCGTGCTCCTGGGCCACAGCGTGCGCAGACCTGGGGGTCTGAGGCTTCCCGGAGCCTGCTCCCCAGGTCAGCCCTGGACGTGGCTGTGATGGCCCGGGAGCCCCCCTGAGGAAGACACCACCCGTGTTTAGCTGTGTTCAGCACAGCTGGGCGCATGGTCCAGCCTGGCCTCCCACTCAGCCCACGGCCGTTCAAACAGCTTCTGTGATGCAGCAGGGTGCACCTGCCTCCTCCTCCCCCGTGCGCTCACGCCACTCCCTCCCTGAAGATCTCGCCTTTCCCGTGGCTTTCCCGGGGCCACTCCCCTTCCACACGCACCTGCGGGCTGGCGTGTGCCGTGGGCCTCCCCCCTGCCCCTGCCCCTGTGCTGACCACCTGCAGGCTGGCGTGTGTCATGGGCCTCCCTCCTGCCCCAGGCCTGTGCTGACCACCTGCAGGCTGGTGTGTGTCGTGGGCCTCCCCCCTGCCCAGGCCTGTGCTGACCACCTGCAGGCTGGCGTGTGTCATGGGCCTCCCTCCTGCCCAGGCCTGTGCTGACCAGGACTGCAGGCTGGCGTGTGTCGTTGGCCTCCCTCCTGCCCAGGCCTGTGCTGACCAGGACTGCAGGCTGGCATGTGTCGTGGGCCTCCCTCCTGCCCAGGCCTGCGCTGACCAGGACTGCAGGCTGGCGTGTGTCGTGGGCCTCCCTCCTGCCCAGGCCTGTGCTGACCGCCTGCAGGCTGGCGTGTGTCGTGGGCCTCCCTCCTGCCCAGGCCTGCGCTGACCAGGACCTGCAAGCTGGCGTGTGTCGTGGGCCTCCCTCCTGCCCAGGCCTGTGCTGACCGCCTGCAGGCTGGCGTGTGTCGTGGGCCTCCCTCCTGCCCAGGCCTGTGCTGACCAGGACTGCAGGCTAGCGTGTGTCATGGGCCTCCCCCCTGCCCAGGCCTGTGCTGACCGCCTGCAGGGTGGCGTGTGTCGTGGGCCTCCCTCCTGCCCAGGCCTGTGCTGACCGCCTGCAGGCTGGCGTGTGTCGTGGGCCTCCCCCCTGCCCAGGCCTGCGCTGACCAGGACCTGCGGGACGCGGGCTCGCTGTGCTCACAGGGCGCTACCACTCACTTTGCAAAAGGGAAAGAACTCAGAAATGTCTCGGCAGGTGCTCCAGGGCATCGAAGGTGGGCATGCGCACCTGCGCACCTTCAGTGTGGCAGCCTGTGTGGACACACGTGCACACCACCGCACACGCGGACAAGGGGGACAGGGCCTCCTGGGCGGGGATGGCTCCGTCACTCAGGGATCCAGGACTCCCGGCCCTGGTACAGCCCAGGGACTTGCTCTTTAACACAGAGCAGAGCCGCGGGGCCCGGGCAGAGCTGGGCAGCGCCCCCGCTTCCCAGCCTGGGCCGGGGTTCTCAGGACAGCCAGGCCCACCACGCTGCACTCACAGGCTCACAGGACCGCTTGCTGCAAACTCCCGGTTGGGGTGCCTAAACCTCACTTAAAATGTGACCCTGGGGGCATAAGCCAGGACTACCTAAAACCTGTCAAACTCAAGGCAGAAGCACCAACCCCACCCATCGGGGCATTCCTGGGCTCGGCTGGGCAGGAAGCCGAGACGCCCACCCGGCTCTGACAGGCAGCCCCCAATCTGAGCAGTAATAAGGGGCCCAGGTGGGGCAGGATCCCACTGAAGGGGACAGGTGGGGGCTGGGACACCCCGAAGCAGCGGGAGCCCCCCACGTGAGCAGGCTGCAAACCGAGGCCAGCCCTGCCCCCTGCCCCTGCCCCAGCTGTCAGCCTGCCTCTGGCCAGCACCTCCATGTGTCCACTGCTCCCTCACTCCCCGGCACCTTCAACCACAGGAGAGCGGCCAGGCCTTCTGAAGGATGTGGGGCACCACAACCTGCGCAGGACCAGAGCACACGCTGGACGTGAGCGGCAGCAGCCACGCCTCAGGTCCCACCCCGCGGGCTGCACACCACGTCCCTGACCCCCACGCGGGCACACGCTGGGCGTGAGCGGCAGCAGCCACGCCTCAGGTCCCACCCCGCGGGCTGCACGCCAGGTCCCTGACCCCCACGCGGGCACACGCTGGGCGTGAGCGGCAGCAGCCACGCCTCAGGTCCCACCCCGCGGGCTGCACGCCAGGTCCCTGACCCCCACACGGGCACGCGCTGGGCGTGAGCGGCAGCAGCCACGCCTCAGGTCCCACCCTGCGGGCTGCACACCACGTCCCTGACCCCCACGCGGGCACACGCTGGGCATGAGTGGCAGCAGCCACGCCTCAGGTTCCACCCGCGGGCTGCACACCGGGTCCCTGACCCCAACGCGGGCACACGCTGGGCATGAGTGGCAGCAGCCACGCCTCAGGTCCCACCCCGCAGGCTGCACGCCAGGTCCCTGACCCCCACACGGGTACGCGCTGGGCGTGAGCAGCAGCAGCCACGCCTCAGGTTCCACCCGCGGGCTGCACGCCAGGTCCCTGACCCCCACGCGGGCAGGCGCCGGGTCCTCCTGCCTGTGGCCTCCTCCATGTGACAGCCCTCAGGGTCTCAGAAGCTGCTGGCACCGTGACCTAGGCCCACCCTAGAACACAGCCCGGACGCCAGGCCCTCCGCATGGCTCCTGTTCGTCAGGTTTTGTCACACAGGAATGAAACGAGAACCTGACATTCTGCTGTGTGCCCTCAGCCTGGGGCCTGGGCTGGGCGGGGCGGGAACCAAGGCTGAGAGCCGGACAGAGATGGATCTTCAGAGGGACGCAACGCTGCTTCAGGGGACACCAGGAACAGCGAAGATGACCTCAGGTGACCCCAGAGGGGCCCTTCCCTGCCCCCAGGTCCCACCCTCGGAACACAGCCCCGGGATGGCAGGTCCCCTGGCAGGGAGGGGGCGACATCCCGGCAGCCACCAGCAGCCTCGTCTGAGCTGTGCACCTGAGCCAGCATGACCAGGCGCTCCCAGGGAGGCCCCCAGGTTCAACAAGGCCAGTACAAGGGTCACGAGCGGGAAACACCACACCCGGGCCAGGTCACCTCACCCTGCCCAGTGAACCCCACACCCCACGCAGAGGTAAGGACGGCCCCGGCACCCGTCAGCTCAGCTGCCCGGGCCCTACTATGACACTGTTCTTAGGGAGGTCTCCAGGGAAGACGGGGATCAGAGAAGTCGGCGCCATGGCCTCCCCAGGACCGTCTCTCAGTGCTCTAACCCCCCACCACTCACAGGAGAGGGGAGCCCAGGCCGGGCACACCTGGGGACAGTCACAGAGCCCCCCTGGCCCGTCCCCTGGGCTCAGGCTACGTCCTCACAGCCCTGGGCAGTGCAGCCCACCCAGAACCACCCGCCCAGGACAAGAGGTCGGGGCCTGCGTCTGTCGGCCACCACGATCACCGAGCGCGGGCTCAGCCTGGCCCTACCTCATGCCCTCGGTGGAGCGGTGCCGGTGGTTTCGGTAGAGCTGCGGCACGCCCAGCATGGCCTCGGTCAGCACGGCCAGGAAGCCCAGCGTCTCCACGAAGAGCGTCGAGTCGATGGACAGGTAGGTGACGTAGGCGGCCACGCCGGCAAAGGCCAGGACACACTGCACGTAGTCCCCAAAGCTGCTCCAGTGCCAGAAGTGCCGGGGATCGAAGTCTAGGCGAGAGGAAGGGGGGTCAGAGAGGGGAGGGGAGCAGGTGAGCTGGGGCCCCTGCTCTTCCCATAGCCAGGCAAACATGGCTCTGCCGCTGCGGAGGGACAGTACCTGCCCCCTTTGCTGCCCTGAGACCGGCACTAAGAGCCGCACGCCGGGGTGCGGCAGGTCCTGGCACTGTGGTTACCACGCCAGGTGGGACACCGCCTCCCATAAGGGAGAGCCTGGTCTGAGCGCTGGCTCTGCTCCCAGTTCCAGCTCCTGCTGACGCACATGCTGGGTGTCCCCGGCCAGCCAGGTGGACACTCGATGGAGCTCCGGCTGCCAGCTCTGACCAGTCCACATGCAGCCTTGCAGGGTGAGTCAGCAGATGGGAGATCGCTCTGTCTCTGCCTCTTTCAAACGAATAAATAACATCTTTTTAATTCAGGAAAAAAGAACAAATTGACACATGACTTCATAAAAATGTAAAACTTCTGCTTGTCAAGAGATACCATTGAGAAGAACAAGCCACAGACTGCAAGAAAAATTCTTCAAATCTCACATCTGTTTAGGGCTGTTTACCCTAAACCCTCAACCAACAACACAGTTCAAGAGTTGGCAATGGGTCCAACGCTGTGGTGTAACAGGTAAAACCGCCTGCAGTGCCGGCATCCCACATGGCACCAGTTCAAGACCCAGCTGCTCCACTTCCCATCTAGCTCTCTGCTGTGGCCTTGGAAAGCAGTAGAAGCTGGCCCAATTCCTTGGGCCCCTGCACCCACGTGGGAGACCTGGAAGAAGCTCCTGGCTCCAGATTGGCACAGCTTTGGCTGTTGCAGCTAATTAGGGAGTGAACCAGCGGACAGACGATCTCTCTCTCTCTCTCTCTCTCTGCCTCGCCTTCTCTCTCTGAGTAACTTGACTTTCAAATAAATATTTAAAAAAAAAATAGTTGGCAGAAAATTTGAGTTTTTCAACAAGGACAGGACCAGGATCACTAAGTCCAGGGAACATACGGCTCCCACAGCACACAGCCCAAGGCCACGAGGAGTCCACGGCTGGGACAGGACCCTGGCCACACCTCACAGAAGACACTGCCTCCTGCAGGACACACAGACCACGGCCACCAGGAGTCCACGGCAGGGACAGGACCCTGGCCACACCTCACAGCTGCACCCCGGAGCCTGAGTTTTCTGTGTGAGGCGCCACTCCCTCACTTCCACACCACACCCAGCTGGGGCACAGCCGGCGGCCATCAGAGGCTCAGGGACACTCAGAGGCTGGGGGACACAGGGCCCCCCAGCTTCTGCAGCTTCGCCGTCCACCCTAATGACCGGGACTCATGGACAATCCTCGGAGGTGCGCCAGGCAGGGGTGTGTCAGCAAGGCTGAACTGGTCCCGGCTGGTTTTCCCTCGTCCCGAGACTTCCCCACACACCCAGAAGGGCCCTCCTGCACGGACAGCCCCGTGTCCTACGGACGAGGGTCTGCAAACAGCACCCGAGGTGTTGCTGGCTCCAAACCTCTGGCCGTGGCCTTCCTGGACTGTGCCAAGCATGGCCTGAACAGGAACGTGCCCAGTGCACTCATGGCCTCCCAGCCTCCTGTCCGTAAACAGGGATCGGGCTTCCCGTGAGGTCCACTGGCAAAGGACGCGCAAGGCTTCAGTGCAGCTTCGGGCTGGCGTTTCCAGTGACTCAGCTCCCACACACGGGTGCTTCTAATCCCAGCCAGCAGCTTCACCCAGGAATACACGCGGCAAATCTCTGAACGTCTGCCTTGCCCACATGAGGGTGACAGCGGGGCACCCACGGAGCCCAGCACTCACAGGGCCTCCACATCATGCCTGTGCCACGCGTGGCCCTTGGCCTGTCACACACAGCCCGGTCAGTTCCGTCATCCGCCTGTTTTCCAGGCTATAGGATGTGCAGGGCTGGGCCAGGGACCCACATCAACTTGGCGCTGGGAAGCCACACGGGTGCCATCTGTGTGGGAAGACAGCTCTGCTCATCCCCAGCCTGCTGCTCCCAGGCCCTCCCCACAAGGGAGGAGATGCCCCTGGGGCTGCCCATCAGACCCCCCCATCGCCGTGACTGTGCTAAAGGGGCCCTCCCTGTGCAAACAGGGGATGTGAACGGGCACTGCCCAGTCTCAACTCACTCATTCTCTCACAGCACGAGCATCACAGTTCAAAGCAAGGAATAAGTGGTCAGTGTCTGCCAGCAAGGCACCTGCTGTCCAGCTGCGGGGCCGGCCGGGGAGGTGCCTCCTCCCCCACGTCACCTGCCCTGCTGTCCAGCTGCGGGCCACCCAGGAGGTGCCTCCTCCCCCACGTCACCTGCCCTGCTGTCCAGCTGCGGGGCCGCCCAGGAGGCGCCTCCTCCCCGTCACCTGCCCTGCTGTCCAGCTGCGGGCCACCCAGGAGGCGCCTCCTCCCCCACGTCACCTGCCCTGCTGTCCAGCTGTGGGGCCGGCAGGGGAGGTGCCCCCTCCCCCACGTACCTGCCCTGCTGTCCAGCTACGGGGCTGGCCGGGGAGGTGCCTCCTCCCCCACGTCACCTGCCCTGCTGTCCAGCTGCGGGCCACCCAGGAGGTGCCTCCTCCCCGTCACCTGCCCTGCTGTCCAGCTGCGGGGCTGCCCAGGAGGTGCCTCCTCCCCGTCACCTGCCCTGCTGTCCAGCTGCGGGGCTGCCCAGGAGGTGCCTCCTCCCCGTCACCTGGGCCGGCACCTCCAAGGCCTCAGAAATCAGACTCTGCCAGGGAAGGCCGTGTGCACAGGCAGCACCTGCCTCTGCACAGCCCCAGCTCTGCCCAGCAGGTATTCCAGGAAAAGCACCCAGCAGTCAGATGTGGGAAACTGAGGACCACAGAACAGAGTGGCCCCAGCCCAGGCCTCAGGTCTCTCGAGGCCAGAGCAGCCGGTTCACCGGGGAGGGCGATGCAGCAAGACGGGGTCCACGACAGGATCACAGAAGGCAGCCTAGCCTGGCCATGCTGTGCCAGGAGGCTGCGGCAGCCCGTGAGCGCCCTCGTGTGGCCTGCCCCATCCGGCTCAGGTGAAGTCCTCCAGAGAATGAACCAGTTCCTGCAGAAACCAGTTTCCCCTGCCTGGGGCAGGGGCTGCAGGCCGGGAGCCCTTGTGAGTTGGGATGGACTCACCCCAGACCTGACACAGGGACACCCCCAGCGTGCCTGGCGAGCAGGAGATCCTGTCCCTGGAGCCGGCCTCACACCCGGGGGCACTCACACCAATCACCAACGAGAAGCAAGCAGCTGGGCCTGCGGAGGAGGGGCCACAGCGCAGCCTGGCTTGGGCGTGCGTCCCTGGGAAATCGCAGAAGCATCCTGTGAACTCCCGCCTGGTGCCCACCCCAGGTGCCGGAGCTGGTGCCGGGGCTCCTTCTCTGAGTCTCAGGCTCCCGGGGAGGCTCTGCTCACCCGACGCTCGGGGGATGGCCCAGGAGTCAGGACCTCGTCGTGGCTTTGTTGTGAGTTTCTCTCCAGTGCACCCCCAGATGCACGCACTAGGATGCAGGCTCGGGGCTGGTGTGGTGCAGTGGGTAACCACGGCTCAGGATGCCCGCAGCCCTTCAGAGAGCCTGGTGTGAGTCCCAGCTCCCCTGCTTCTGGAGCGGCTTCCTGGCCAGGTGTCTCGGGGCGGCAGTGGTGCCGCACGGGAGACTTGGGAGTTCCTGGCTCCTGGGTGTTGCGGCCACGTGGGGAAGGAGCCCGCAGATGGGAGATCCAGAGTCAGCGTGGTGCTGTGAGCAGGTGGGTCACTTGGGGGCTGTGGGTGTGCACGAGGGGATGGGGGATTCGGGGGCTGGCGTGGGAAGGTGCCCTCTGCTCTGTGGGCGTGGCCCCAGTTGAAGTGTGGCCACAGGTGGCTTTGCTGCCGGTGTGGGCGTGTGGCCCTCCAGGACAGGCTGCGCTGTCTATGCTGGGGCCGCAGGAGCAACACAGCAAACAGGGAGGCAAGAGAACAGGACGGCATCTGCACAAAGGGCCCCTGTGCGGGGGAGCCGAGAATTCAACAAGAAAGCCTGTGCAGGCGGGAAAGACCGGAACGTCCCTCCAAAGGCATCGCCAGGAAGCTCCGGCGAGCAGGCGTGGGCACGCCCCGAGCTCCTTTTGGACACAGGTTTGACAGGAGCAGGGATCTCCACCCGCAGAACTCACGGCCCAGCACGTGGTGCGCCAGTATCTGAGCGTGGCTGAGTGTGGGGCTCACACGCACCCCAAAGACTGAGCACAAGGATGGAGAAAATCCTACAAACGATGTCGCTGGCTCCTGCAGAAGCAGCATGTAGCATTTCACCCAACTCTTCCCGTTATTTTTATTTATTTATTTATTTAAACACTACAGCCTCTTTTTTAGGATTTTTATTTATTTATTTGAAAGGCAGAGTTACAGAGAGGCAGAGAGAGAGAGAGACAGAGACAGAGACACTGATCTTCCATCTGCTGGTTCACTCCCTAAATGGCCACGACGGCCGGAGCTGGGCCGATCCAAAGCCAGGAGCTTCTTCCCAGTCTCCCATTGGTGCAGGGGCCCAGTGATTTAGGCTGTCTTCAGCTGCTTTCCCAGGCGCATTAGCAGGGAGCTGGACTGGAAGTGCAGCAGCCGGGACTTGAACTGGCGCTCATACGGGATGTTGGTGCTGCGGGCGGCGGCTTTCCCACTACGCCAGTGCTGGCCCCGACACTACAGTGCTATTTAAAGTACCTGCTGACTTACTTGAGGGGCAGGGTGACACAGAAATAGACAGCGAGCTCCCACTGGCTAGTTCACTCCCCCAAAGCCCACAGTGGCAGGGCCATGTGGGTGGCAGGGACCCAAGCACCTCAGCCACACTGCTGCCTCCCGGGGTCACGTGAGCAGGAAGGGAGCCTGGACAGAGCCAGGTCAAACCCAGGCACTGTGTCTGGGACGTGGGGTCCCAGCTGCGTCTCCACTGCCGGGCAGGCGCCTGCCCTGGTTCCACTATTTTTAACACGTCCCTAGGAAACCTGAGAGCGCGGTGGCTGAGCCCCGGCTCGCATTCCACTTCCAGGGGGCAGCGGACTCTGCCCAGGCCGTCTGACATTCAGACCACTCGGACACGTGCTGAGGACTCCAAGGCCGGACGCCAGGCTCGGAAAACTCAGCCAAGCCCAGAGCTCCCCAGGCTCAAAGGCCACACCTGAGGCAGTCACGGCACCTGGGCCCCGGCCTGGGCACACCGACTGCCCGGCAGCAGGAGCACAGGACGCCCTGGCTCTTGGGGGTCAGCCGGGGCAAAGGACACCAGGGTGGGGGGAGGAGCAGACAGCGCATTGGCCTCTGCGGCCCTGCTCCCCGACCCGTGAGACAGCCCCCACTCGGGGCAGCCAGGACGGGGCTTCCTCGCCAGGGCCAGTGCAGGAGCGGCGGCCGGCCCCTTCCCCTCTGCCTGCTCCCCTCCCCCACTGTGTCACCACCGATCCTGCCTCAGCGCACTCCCAGGGTCCAAGGGGGTGGGGCAGCCTGCACTGGGAGCAGGGTGCTGCCCCAAGAGGCTGCCCCTGCCCAGGCTCGGGAGGAAGGGGCCTCAGAGCAGAGCGCTCCACAGCGCCCTCTATGGGTCTGACTGCCTAGAGCTGCGCGTGCTCAGTAAGAGGACGCTGAGGATGAGCAGGAGGAGGGAAGCAGAGCAAAGCCTCACTGAGCCACAGCCCTGCCCAGAGGTGGGGCACACGTCCCACGGCACCCCCAAAGCCAACACCACCATGGGCAGGCAGCTGGTGGAAGCCAGACCGACAGCACTGACCTCCACAGGCTCCACAGGGACCAGGAGGGTCAAGGCCGGCCAGAGCCACCCGGTGGGGACGGCACCTGGGCAGCCAAACGCAGAAGCGCACGAGCCACACGCTGCTGCAACAGTCACCTGGAGTGTCCAGTTCACAGCAACAGAGCCAGCAGGGACGCCCACGCGGCAGGCGGGACACAGGCTGGGCCGAGAAAGAGCAGGCAGCGGCACCTCGCCAGAGACCCGCCCGAGCAGAGCCGAAGTTACACACTCGGGCGGGGACTCAGCAAAGACGACGCAGCCCAAGGAACAGAGAAGGCAGAACGCACCTCAGAGACGCCAGTGCCAGGCGTACGCTCGGTGCCCCTACCAAGACGAGAGATGCAGGGGAGTATCCCCTAATCCTGGCGGAAAACCTCCAGGCTAGATGAAAACATTAACCCAGGGCCGGCGCTGTGGCGTAGCGGGTAAGGCCACCACCTACAGTGCCCGCATCCCATATGGGCGCCTGTTCGAGTCTCAGCTATTCCACTTCCAATCCAGCGCTCTGCTATGGCCTGGGAAAGCAGTAGAAGGTGGCCCAAGCGCTTAGACCCCTGCACCCACATGGGAGACCTAGAAGAAGCCCCTGGCTCCTGGCTTCGAATCGGCACAGCTTTGGCCACTGTGGCCATTTGGGGAGTGACTCAGTAGATAGAAGACCTTTCTCTCTCCCTCCCTCTCTCTCTCTCTCTCTCTGCCTCTCTGTAACCCTGCCTTTCAAAAAAAAAAGGAAATATGGGGCTGGCACTGTGGCATAGGTGGTAAAGCCGCCACCTGCAGTGCTGCCATCCCATATGCGCACCAGTATGAGTCCTGGCTACTTCACTTCCGATCCAGCTCTCTACTGTGGCCTGGGAAAGCAAGAGAGGGTGGCCCAAGTTCTTGGGCCCCTGCACCCACGTGAGAGCCCCAAAACAAACTCCTGGCTCCAGGCTTTGGATCGGCGTAGTTCCGGCCAACTGCGGAGTGAACCAGCGGATGGAAGACCTCTCTCTCTCTCTCTCTCTCTCTCACTCACTCTCTCTGCCTCTCCTTCTCTGTGTAACTTTCAAATAAATAAATAAATCTTTTTAAAGAAGTAAGTAAATAAAAATTAACCCATACTCCCGAGGATCTCAACACACTGGAGGTGCGGTAGACAGAGTCCCACACGCTGGCATCACACCCAAGCACTGATGCCAAAGAGAACGGCAGGTCTGGGAAGCACCACAGAAAAGCGGCTTCCTGCTCGCGAGGAAACCCCAGCAAGACGCAGCTGCCGCGGCGGGGTCCAGCAGCCCCAGAGGCACCAAGTGCTGAAAACTGACGGTGGCTCGCGCTGCTCAGCTTCCTCTAGAACAAGGGCGGAGCAGGGCCAGCGTCGTGGCGCTGATGGGAGCATCCCATGTTGGTGCACACCCTGGCTCTCCCCGCTCCCAGCCCAGCTTCCCCTAGTGCACCAAGCACACGGGCCCTGGGAGTCCCACACCGAGCTGCAGGCTCCCGGCTGCCACCGGCCCAGTCCTGGCTGTCGTGGCTATTTCGGGAGGGAAGCAGCTGGTGGAAGACACTCACTCATTCCCTCTTTGTCTGTCTCTGTAGCTCTGCCTTCCAAATAAACAAACACCTCTTCTTCTAAAAGGGCACAGTGGAGAAGCCACCACGCAAACACGCGCTGAGAGTGTTGCTGGCAGGCAGATCCGCCTTACAGGAAACACAGGAACGCCAGACAAGACCCAAACCCACGCGAGCAGCCACGGGGGCAGGTGAAGGGACTGTGCACACCCCGTCCACTTCCTACCTCACTCAGAAAGCAGCTACAGTATAGAACACCACAGATGGTTATTCTGGGCACTCCAATGACTGCCTGACAGTGACAGCACAAGTCGGATGGCTGGGCCAAGGGCACTGCCGAGGGCGGCTCAGAGCCACAGAAAGGAGCCAAGAGACCCAGGACGGGGCGGGCATCGGGTGCCACCTGGGACACTGCAGCCCCCACTGGAGGGTCTGGGTTGAGTCCCGGCTCTGCTCCCAATTCCAGCTTCCTGCTCGTGCACGCCTGGGGGCAGCAGTG